GGGCTCCAACGCAGGCTGGTTCACTTTCGAGAAAGAGAGGGACGACGAGACGACGACTAGGCTGGGGCAAGGCCTGAAAGCCGCAAGCAAGCATCGGAGGAAAAGATGGGGACGGAGAGGAGGCTCGCAACGGGAGCCAGCATGATCACTGTGCAAGAGAAGAGTGGGAGCTAGAGAATCTGATCAGAGTTTCCACTTGCGGCAACGCAAGGATGCTGGGCATTATGCGTTGAAGGGGAAGGGATGTAGTCGATGTTTAGACTTCCCCACAGTAGGTTTGGGCGCGCCGGTGGGAAAAAAAGCCCCCGACTGGCCGCTGGCGCAACGAGGGTCCATGTGCTAGGTGCACTTCAGGGACAGGGGTGACTGATGTCTGGTTGATTTGTGTAACTGGCACAAGAGGCGACAGCTTCTGGGCCCCGCTCCTAGCTCCGTAGTTTTTAGTATGGATGGTTGATCGCTCGGTGCCTTGTGCTGTGCTGTTTTGTGCTGTGCTTGCAGCGAGTCCGTCGTCGGCCCCCAAATCCTGCTGTTGCCAGAGGACGGATGACGGACGCTCTCGCTCTGCGGCGGTTTGCGTCTTTTTGGTGGTGGGTTGCCGTAGGAGCTTGGCGTGCTCGCCGTTGCCGGTGACTAGGGCGACTCCCTCGACGTCGAATTGTGCATCAGATTGGGCCGTAGCAGATCATGGCGTCAGATGCTCCGTCTGAACCATGATCTCCGCAGGGAAATCGTCCGGGCAGGGCTTAGATTTCCAAATAGCCAGCCAGGGCAGTGTGATAACAGACGTGATATAGGCAGTGGCAAGGCGGGTGGCATCTATTGCAACTCGGTGCCATTGGCGCGCTCAACTTTGACGGGGTTGCCAAAAAAACAACAAGCGTGGTTGTACGTGATGAAAGCCGCTGGTCCATACTGCGTAGTAATTAGTGCGCCGCGGCTGCTCGGTTGATGCAAATGGGAGGCCCTGAGGCGCAGTTGTCCATCGATCTGCAAGCTGAGACCCGGGATTGGGCGTGAAACTTGTCAAGGAAGCACTCCGTTTGAAGTCACTGGGATCTGTGATGGGGTGGACCGTGGATGGGGACAGGGCTCAGGTGTGCGATCTCTGACCGGATTGGTATCTGACCGTGGGCGAGAGGGGCCAAATTAGCACACCAGGCCACGGGCATGTGCAGTAAGATGTTCAGTCGGTCGGGAGATGCCGAAGCGAATGCTGGGGCTGCTGACTTGCCCACCCGTGTCGCTCGGTGGCTACCGCATCTGGTCTTCCGCTGTCTGTCGTTGCTCTTGGCTGTCAAACCCGCGGATAATTGCAAGGCAAATCTCTGGTTGATGGATGTTGCTGGATGATACCGCAGAGGCGGTTTGGATGGATGCAAGCGACCAGATGAAGAGAGCAAAACCACATGGCTGGGCGCACGAGGGAAAGCCACAAGGCGGCCGGCAGAGGCGACGGACCCCGCCAGCGCCAACTACCAACGGCCGATTGCTTCTTTGTCGCCATTGTGCGTGTGGTGGTGTGCTTTGTGCATGTGTTGCTGTTGCAATATACAACGGCGCTGCAGCCACGCGGCGCGTTGGGACAGAGATGCCGGCTTGATCTTACAAGAAAGTCGAGCTTCGGGGAACAGCAGGATTCGAGCTCAACTCTGGCAGTCTTCTGGTGTGTCTCATGTTCTCGACCACCGCTAGATGTGACGCCAGCCCGTGCTCTGGTCGTAGGAAACGTCTCTGCTGTCTGTGAACAAGCATCCATCTCACTTCCCAACACGAGGTCGGGTGGGTCTGTGTTGATGGCTGATTGCTTGAGTTGCGTTGCCTTTCCCGACTCTCTCAAGGTAGGGTAGTTTTTGGTGTTTGTTTGCGTTGTGTTGCGGCAGGCGTTGCTAAGGCTTGGAACTCGGGGCGGTCCATGGCGATGGACAATGCGCCATAGCGCATCGAGCCGGTGGGTGAGGTGTGTGAACTGGCGGGAGACGGACGATTCCCATTTGCTTTACCATCCAATGGAGCACGAACCCAGGCACACTGTTGCTCTGGGCGGCCGCTTGTCGACTGCGGGTGTTTAATGTCTTGTTTTCGTCGCAGTTGCACATTCGGAACGCATATGCATATGCCTGGAAGTGTGTTAATGCCCAGGACCGCCTCCTGGTGAGAGACGGCGCAGTTGTCCAGTGCAATGGTATCTTTCGGCACGCTTATCAGACAGCACAACACAGGCGTTAGCGGCCTCGATGTGGTTTTGGCAGACGAAACCCATGGGACGGCATCTCGTCACCAGGCTGTCACTCTGGCATGCCACTCGGATAGCAAGGTTGTGATCCCTGTCCTGTGATGCAGCTCATGGTGCTAGACAGCGCGCAAGACAAGACGAGGCGTTGGCTTGTCCAGCGCATCACATCAGTTGTAGGCTATCTCGAACCAGCGATTGAGACGATTCGCTCCGTTATCGACGCCGTCCCGTCATGTGTAGTAGGGCGAGACGCGGCAGTATTAAGGACTGAAGGATCCCGTACGTGGCGGACGTAATACCATAGATTGAGGTGCGCGGCGTGGTTTGCGCTCAAGAGTAGGGTACCTAAAGTTGGTGGTTAGTACGGCGCAGGTAGAGACGGCGACTGGTATCGTGGGCGCAGGTCTGGCAGTGTGGGTGGCGGCGCGGACTGATGTGCTGCAGGGAATGACATAGCAGGCAGGGCGTTTGCTGCATAGAAGGACAGTAGGGCTCGAGGGGACATTGGACAAATTCGGGCATCTCGATACGTAGCCGGGTGACGATCCATGGGTGGGCGTGCTGGGGGAATGCGCGATTTGCGATTGGCTTGTGGGAAGCTGCCTCCACGTTTCAAGACGGGGACGCTGCAAGGTGGGATGGTGAGATGTGTCGAAGGAAGGGGGTGACGGGCAGGGAAGCATGGGCAGCATGGGATGGAACAGGGTGAGGTGGGTGGTGCCGTGGGTGGTGGTCGGGCTGGTATGGACGAAGTTGTATCGGTCCTGCGTCGGCATTGGTTGCGCAGCGAGTGAGATGCATACCTAGGACGGTTTGTATTAATGATCAATGGCGCGGTCGAGTGGCCCATCGTCTGGCAGAGAAGTAGACTTTGCGGCGCTGATGACCTTGTCGTCTGGCAGATAGACGAGGTTGTTGAGGTTCTCCGTCGTGGTTGACTGCAGATAGATGCATTGTAGATGAGGGAGTGATGGGACCGATCCAGTCCAGTCCAGGCTTAGGATGACGAGGCGAAGATGGATCCCGGATGGCAGTGTGGTAGTCGGTGTTGCTCCCGCGGCCGCTGCATCACGACGGGGTCGGTCAGGGTGCGTGTCGTGGGTAGATGGGGAGATGGATTGACGGATGGCGGGGCGCGCCAAAAGAATCAGATTGTGCATGAGGTGAAGAGTCCAGACTTGGGAACTGCCTCCTTCCCGGGGCCTGGCGACAGCGGCGTCCGTCAGGAGGACCGGGGGAGGACGGGGGGATGACGAGGGAGGAATATGGGCTGGGATCGGGGCCAGGTCCGGGGGCTGGCGGGATGGAGGTTTGGAGTTCAGGTGCTTTACACTACGGATACACAGGCAGGCAGGTACTTGATAACTTGAGAATAGCAAAAAGGTGGAAGGTGCAAGCAAGGTGCGGGCAGGGTAAGGCAGGGGAGAAGGATCATGGAGATGGAAGCTCTCCCGCGCCATTCCCGAGGACTAGTGTGTGAACCAACTTTACTGCGTACGAGTACTGCTTACCCTTTACCTTACTCTGCAGTGTTCGTACGGGCTGTGTGTTCTCTTGTCGGCCTCCCAGGTCAACCCCTCTACTTGGAGCCCATGGTGGGACGACGAGACGCCTCCTTCCGTGGTCCGTCGCCCGTCATCCGTCGTCCCCATGTGGGTGTTGCAGCTGAAGCCCATCGTCTCCACAATGCCCATGGTGCCTTCCCTCACCCAGGGTGATCGTGGACAACGACAGGCAAGTGACGTCCTCTTTCTCTCCTGCTTTTTCTGATGGACCACGGACGGATATTCTCGTCGAGTCGGCGGGGCAGGCCCGACGCCGGGTTCTTTCCCAGAAAGGTCAGCCATTCGCGGCTGCTGCCATTGACGCATGTTATGGACCCAGGGGGCATGGCCGCGGATATGTGGAAGGAAGGCATCACTTTCATCAGTCATCAATCAAGGCATCAGCATGGACAGCCAAATTGCCTCTGTGGCTGCCGGCCTCAGCAGGACGCATGCGCAGCTGCTAGCCACGATGCGGTACAGGCATAAACCTCACCAGAACGCCGCATAAGAGGCGAAATATCACACTTGTCCCATCTCCCGTCGTCCAATCCATCCATCCGTCAACTCATTCGTTCATTGCGACTACCGGACTTAAACGCAAGGCACATACAACACAACACACACCTCGAATTTACCTTATTCCATCACACAGCAGCTCAAGGTGGCGCTCTAGCCAAAACCATACCAGCCCACCATCAGCCTTTTAGCGTGCTTAGCCAGGGCCGCTGGGAGGGGTGCGCCATCAATCACTGCATTTCAACCCAAGACTCACTCAATCACTGCAAAAAAAAAAAGGAGACGGACGATGAGCCCGGCAGTACGAAGCTAGAACACCACCTTCTGAGAGACACCACCGACGGGGAGCCTTCTGTGGACCCGGCCAGGTTCTTTTGTGGGTCCAGACAGCCCCCCAAAAAAGCTGCACATGTTTCAGCTGATGTCCACTCCTCTTGTCATTGGAGACAGAATGGAACCTTGCCTGGAAAGACTCAGGAACAACTCCAACGGTCACCCCAGGTCCCGGTCGCACCTTTGCCGCACTGCGCTGCTGCTGTTCTGTTCTTGTTCTGGCCTGCTCTGCCTTGTGCTGCGCTGCGATGCGCTGACCTCTCTCTGCCTGGCGCTCAGCGCAGTTTGGGAACAGAACACCTGGGCTGCGCCAGAATCCGTCCAGCACCGCACTTCAGCATGCTTTGCGCGCTCCTTTCTGCTCCAACATGCCCTCTTTAGGCCTAGTTCATGCGGACACCCTCGACATCCGGCCACCGGACTTTGGACGAAAGAACACAGGATGCGAGGTCCGCGAGGCTGTAGAGTCAAAGCCGAAGCCATGTACGAAGCCTTCAAGACGGAGCCAAAACGCTACAGGCAACAAACTGCGCAATGAACAAGGTCAGCACCCCGAGCCCACAAGCAATACAATGCGAACTTTGTCAGACAAAACGGCAAACTGACGCTGACGCGCAGGCGCTCAAGCTTTCCACTGCAGAGCCAAACACCCGACGATGATACTCGAGGTACCTCAGATGCCCACCACTTCAGAGCATGCCTCCAAACCATACCTCCAGAGCATACCTCGTGTTGCTCTTGCCGTATTCCACATCACCGTTTTCGCTTTGCTTTCTCTGCTCTGCCGTGCCGCTGATACCGATACTGCCACTCGTCTTGTTGGCTGCGAGCGCCAAATGCAGCATCATCATCATCATCATCATCATCATCATCACACCCGTCATCGGCTTCGGCCCCTAGAAGATGCACTAGCCAGCTGTTCGCTGACGGACGACGCCTTCCCGCCCAACCGGTGACCTCCTTTTCCTCACCTTGTACGTGTTTCCCTCGCTGACGAAAGTCGGTGAGCACAGGCATCCATCACACACGTTGCGATGGTCCCGTCTGCGAACTAAAGACGACGGACGCCACTTAGTGCCAATTTCGAGGCCTCAAGTAAGGTGCCCTGGGTAGCAGCTAAGGTGCCTCCATCTTGGCTTCCGCTAAGAGATGGGTTGACGGAGAGGGGATGCGACGCAAACTCGGCCCACGGAAGCTTGGGTCGACAAGGTCTAGCTCCAGGGCACACCCGACCAGGTACATCTCCGTGTACCGCCGTACCATGCCGCCGCATTCTTTCCGTGGCTCTCAGCTGCCAGGCCTCGCACGCGACGAACACCAAAGCAGCGCCTTGGACCTAAGCCAAGCCGCGGGCTAAACGGATGCCCTACGATACGCCCTACGACACGCCGTCTATCCATGAATACAGACGACATGCCGCGGTCTAGGCTGAGGCAATTGTTTGTTGGCTGTTTCTGGTCTTCTGAAGGCCTCAGTCTTCGGTCTCGGGCCCGACGATGCAGCGCAAACGCGGACGAGACGACCTGTCTCCAGGCCTCTCTGCAGCCCGCAGACCAGCCCACCAGGCCAGCCAACCTCTGGCAAGGTCTGCTGCAGGGTGTCATCCCTGCGCCGATCATCTCGAGGCGACACACTCGCGAGCTTGCACCCTCGGACCCTGGTCTCGAGTGATTTACAATGGTTTCATCTCAACTTTTGCCCTCTGCACTAACGCCATCATGATACGGGCAAGGACTCGGGACCTGCTCCAGTACCACTCAAACCGACGCCACGGTCACTGCCACTGCCACTTGTCGCTGTCATTTGCCAGCACGAGCTTCTCCGCCTCCTCCGTCCCCTCCCACCATCTCTGATCTTGTTGTTTTTTTTGCCCATCCATCTCTTGCGGATCTGGCTGGTGGCCCCAAGAGTTCGAACGATGAGGGGACGGGGAGCATTCTTCAGCGGCCTGTTCCTTGCGGCTGCGACGCTGGAAAGTCGTGGACCGACGCCGTCCCAAAATTCGCATGCAAACTGCAAACACGCTGCAGTAGGCCCGGCGGCGCCCCGAATCACAAAATATTCCGCAACACCAGCGAGCCCAGCACGCGCCAGTACGTGCGAGCGGTCGGCAGAGGCGTGTCAGGTGCCTGCAGTGGGAGGCCGCTAACGTTAAGGTTAACCAACTTTGGTCTGGCTGCGCCTGGTCTTCTGCGAGCTCTTTACATGCGTTGGAGGCACTGGCATGCAAGTTCCTTACTCTTTGCTCAACGCTATGTGATCATCTACTCCGCAGTACCAAGTACAGAGCGAGTGAGAGAGAGAGTTGTACTTGGTGTGGTTGGAAGACCTCGCCACAGTGTGTCTGGTGTGGCGTGGCCCATCCAACATGCACGACACGACAGTCAACTCATCTTCTCTGCCACATTTCCGATCCCGTCTCTCAGCGTAAATCGGCCGTCAGCGTGGCCAGATTAGCGAGTCAGGGAAAATGTCCGTGGTGTCGAGCCGAATCGACGGAAGCCCAGAGTCGATCTGTTGCCGGACCGCCATCGGTCTATTCAGCCGCTATCTCATCCTCCGCCAGATCCTCCAATTTCCATCCGCTCCTTGAGACAAACGCCGCTGCCGATTATAGAAGATTCGAAAACTCCATCCAGAGGCCCGTGGCATAGACACCTGTCTGGGCAACGTTATTTTGTTTCATTCCATTTCGTATTCTGGAAGCGAGGCCCTCGGCCTGACCCATTGTTGTGATTGCGACCGCTTGAGACAATTCCAACGTCGACTCTTCTCCCTTCTTCCGAGTCAGTGGTCTGTTGCGTCGTAGCGTTGCGGTGCGTCTCGCAGGCAACGCAGCATCCAACCATCAGAGAGAGATTTCGTCTTCAGCCCTCGCTGCTCTTTGCTGACCCCCCCTTGCATCGACTGTCCGGGAACTTCAGACGTGAACAGATGTAACACCACCTTTGCTCTTCTCGTTCGGGATGGCGGTCTCTTCCCCCTCTCTACAATACGGTGATTTAAGGTATTACATGTGTCATCGTCCGATGACGAAACGCCCAAAAGTTGGGAGCGCGGCGAAGAAGGAGACAAATTTGGCGTCCGATTGTTGCGCTCGATCCCTTTCTTTGATTTTGAAATCGCATCGGAGGCCTGGTCGAGCCAGGTCATGGCAGCTTCGGCGCTTCGGTCTGAACTTTGTCTCTGAGGCGAAGAGATGCTCGCACACACTCACACACATGCCATGTACACGCACACACACAAACACTGCTGATTTAGACTTTTGTGACATTGATATGACGATTACGGTAGCAAGAGAAGAGCAGCGGCCTGGTCCGTGAGACTGAAGAATGGTGGCGAAACCGAATAAGAGACGACATGTGCTGGACGGGACGCCGAGACCATACTACCACGTCTCTGTTCCCTCCTCTTTCCCGCGGCCCGCCTCCGCGATGGAACCCCGGAGCCGAAAATAAGACGTCCCGTGTGCTCCGTTCCGAAGACGCATCCATCAGGACGTCGGCGGCCCCGCGGGCGGCCGCAGACTATGACATTTCCCCCAGAGCAAGGCTTGGGGATAATATAATCAATTCCTCTTTTGTCCTGGAGGAACACGCTGTTGTCATTTTTTCTTATCATGGAAGGATTCTCGATTAAATGGTCGTTTAGGCAGCCACATTTGGCGCGCTTGTCGGGGTGTGATTGGCCGGGGAGGCGGATTTAGCGTTTGACGTAATGTGATGGGAAGAACAATGAGAATAGGGGGAAAGTCTAAATGGACTGAGATGCTGGGAGAGATTTTGATGACTGAAGCGGATTAAGTGATGTCCTTCCTTCCTCACTCGTGTGTGTTATTACGAAGTCGTGTCCATATCTAGCCTTTCGCCTCTCTCGTGTTGAAAGTGAAGGTTCATCTATCCAGGGTTTACACCATGTCCGCCGCCGAGGATGACAACAACACGACATCAACACCGCCACCGCCGCTCCGCGTCAACGTGGTGATCTTATTCATGGGATCCCGGGGGGACCTGCAGCCTTCGATCGCGATCGCGAAAGCCCTGCAGCGCTCCGGGGGGCGGTACCGCGTGCGGGTGCGGATCGCGACGCACCCGCCGTACCGGGCGGCCGTGGAGGCGGCAGGGGTGGGGTTCTACAGCGCCGGGGCGCGGTGCGATATCAAGCGGATGATGGCGCGGCGGCTGCTTCCGCGGGAGGAGCTGAAGAGGGAGGTGCCGGAGATTGAGCGGGAGTTTGGGGAGATGGGGGCGCGGTGGTGGGGGGCTTGTGTTGATGGCGGGTATGAGGGAACGACCTCTGGGGAGAAGAGGGATGGGGTGGAGGATGTGGTGGAAGAGGAAGGGAGACAGGCGGGAGGGTTTGTGGCTGATTTGGTTGTGTCGACGATGCAGGTTTTCGTGCAGACGTCGGCGGCGGCGAGGATGGGTGTGCCGTTGCACTTGTTTGGGATGAACCCGAGGATATACTCGAGGGAGGTGCCGCATAGTCAGGCGGGCTGGGCGGTTGGGAAGGGAGGGGTTGTGAGGAGGGCGAGTTGGTGGGTGCAGGATTTGCTGTGAGTCTTGATTTCTTTCATCTTCTTTTCGTCTTCAGGGGTGGGTTCTGAAGGGCGGGAGAGGTGGCATCGGCGGAGTTGTGGTTATGCTCTAAGAGATGGGCAAGACCGACCGATATGACTGGGAATGATTCACTGACAGACACTGTCAAGATTCCTCCAAGCCATGAAGGCCGTGATCAACACCACCCGCCGCGGCATGGGCCTCGAGGACTTCTCGCCCGCGTGGTGGCTCTCGCAGTTCAACCGCCTCCGGGTGCCGTGCACATACCTCTGGTCGCCGCTGCTGCTGCCCAAACCGTCCGACTGGGCCTCCAACATCTCCGTCGCGGGGTTTGCCTTCGAAGACGTCTCTGAAGGTGACTTTGTCCCGCCCGCTGATTTAGTCAAGTTTCTCGAGAAGGGCCCGCAGCCGCCGGTGTATGTCGGCTTCGGGAGCATGACCTTCGCCAACGCGGCGGACGTGTTTGGCGTCGTGAGGGCCGTGGTGAGGGAGATGGGGCTCCGGGCGGTTGTGTGTAGGGGGTGGAGCGGGGTTGTGATGGACGAGGGTGTGGGTGAGAAGGGGGAGGAGGAGGGTGATGTGTTTGTGGTGGATGATGTACCGCATGCGTGGCTTTTCCCGAGGGTTAGAGCGGTGGTGTGCCATGGCGGCGCCGGGACGGTTGCGATGGCCCTGCGGTGCGGACGGCCGACGCTGGTTGTGCCTGTGGCCGGGGACCAGCCGTTCTGGGGCAGCCGGGTGGCGGAGGCTGGGTGTGGGCCGGCGGTCGGGTTTGGCATTGCGGAGATGACGAAGGATGGGTTATGGGGGAAGCTTGGGGAGCTACTGGAGGAAAGGTATGCGATTGCGGCGGGGGAGTTTGGGAGGCGGGTGAGGGCGGAGAGGGATGGCGTCGAGGGGTTTAGGGAGGATCTGGAGAGGAGTTTGGCGGTGTATGAGGGCTTGAGGTGTGCGGTGCTGAAGGATAGGATTGGTGTTTGGAGGGTTGGGGGCGTGTTGGTGAGTGCTGTTGCTGCAGAGGTGTTGATGAGGGAGGGGCGGGTGAAGAGGGAGGAGTTGAGGGCGGTGGAGGCTGTGAGATGGGGGGACCTGGTTGCGCCTGGGGATCCTGTGAGTGGGCTTGTGATGGGGGTGAAGGGGGTTGGGAGAGGTGTGAGGAGGGATCTGCAGGAGAAGGCTTGGGCGTTTGTGGTGCTTCATATTCTCAGAGGTGAGTTGGGGATGCTCTGTTGTTGGGGGTTTGCTGACGATGATGGGTAGCGCCGTTGATGATCTTCGCGGGGCTCACGTTTGGGATGTTCAACTTCGTTGACTTTATTCTATGGGAGATGGCTTCCCCCACTGAGCCGAAGCTCTATGCTAGCAACCCCAGGTTGTATAGTTACGGACAGATGCTGGGCTTCTTGGTGGCTGCGCCTTGGAAAGAGTTGCAGAGCATTGCATATCAACCGGCAGAGCTGAAGAAAGGGGGAAGAAGGCTTGGGAGAGTCATCCTGGAGGCACCGCTGGCCATTCTGAGAGTCTTGGTAGCACTTGTCAACATTATCGTCGGGTTCGTTGGCATCAGTTTGCGGATGGCTGACCTAGCGTGTTCAAAATCAATGGGCGAGAGGGATGACAGAGACGTTGTGGCTGAAGCCAGGTTACGGCACGGCAGGATCGAGGCCCAAGAACTCGCGATCGACAGAACCGAGGAGGGCGGTGACTTGACAGTTGAAGTTCTCCGGGCATGGGATGCAAAGTCATGAGACTAGCTCCCTATCTCTCACCCCTGATGCCCGAACCCAGGTCCATCGTCTGATCGGGCACTTTCTCGTCTCGACTTTTGGTCACCTCGCACATCCCGTTCGTCTCGATACACGCTGCAGATTCCGGCTGTTACACGACATGCAGCGAGGCACCCGGGAGGTGGGATATTCTCCGATGGCGTGTGTGAAGGAAACGACCGGCGGCAACGGAAGACGCATGTCTCTGCTGTCGTGCGACGCATGCGGGTTGCCGCAGTATTTGGCCACGTCAACATCCGCGGGTGCTGTGCAGTTCTGGTGAGGCTGTCGACGCGGAAGGTTTTCGGGTTCGGGGTTTTTCTCATTGCCATGTGGGCGTTTTGTTCCGTTTGTGTTGTGGGACGTGATCGGTGTAGGAGACCGGTGCGTCGATGAGGGGATGCTTGGTTTGTTTGTCAGCGACGGGGTTTGACAGACGACGGATTTGGAGGTGAGGGATATCATAACATGGTAATATCTATAGTGTAATAGGTGAAATGGAAGTTGCAAATCCGCAACCAGAGATTCAGGATCATCACAATCTTTGAGACAGTGAGATGGAGTCGTCTTGGGAGGCGTTATGAATGCAGTGAAGTAAGCTTGTGGTTCGTGACATGTCACTTGCATGTAAGATGGCGAATTATGACTGCAGGACGCTTCCTCACTCCACAAGTTCTAGAGGAATTAGTAGCGGCACAGGCGACAATTAGAGTGTGGAGGAAAACACGAACAATTGGGATGGCTTCTAATCTGGACTCAATTGCATCGATGAACTGCCATCAGATAGGCTTATGAGCGCAAGCGTCAATTCAACAAACTGCATTTTCAACATATCAAGCTGTAAGATGACCAGCATGACTGCAGGGTTCGTGGACTTCATCATGTATTTGGTGCAATAGCGTTGAACTCCGCATCTTGGAATACCGTTGGCGTCGTCCCGTTGGCCAGCAAGCAAAGTATAAGTAGGCTTGAACCAAAGCTGATTCACACATACATGGGACTAGATTCGGTGGACCCATCGCTGTGGTTTCTGACGTCCTTCCACAGCTACGAGTGAGGATGGGACTCGCCACGTCTGGAGGAATGATGTCCTTTCGCTTGACGGGGACATGACAAGCCCGCTCTGGGGAGAGGTATTTCAAACCTAGCATGCTGAATAAGTCGAAACTGAAGACAGGGATGACGGAAAGTGCGTCGTATGAATCATTATTGTGACACCTATTGAGAGCAGAGTCGAGAGGTTGAGCGACCATGATGGCCACTTCCTCGTTTCGAACGACGACGACATATCGGATCTCATCTGCTATTATAAATCAACTAAAGTTTAGAACTAAAAACGGCTTATGTATAACTCAGGCTGAGTTATTAGCCAGCACTCGGGAATTAACGATGTTAGAAAACATGTCTTTACTTCGGAAAAATTATAGCAACGCAACGCACATCTTGGTTCTTTCAGTGATTTCATTGAAGGGCTACGAGAATAACTCTAGATTCAAAGTTTCTCATGTCAATAGCTGTATAGAGTCATGACCAGTTGTTTCGGGCACAACATCATCAAAAACGTTTGAAAATCGAGATGTTATTCGTCGTATATCTCACTAGTCAATGCGACGCTCTCATATATCACGGCTTTTGGGCCAGTACCCAAAGGTCACGCATCAGAAGTCAACGCGAGCGTCTCATCTCGGAGATTATGATAACTTCTAAGAAGTTACTGAATATAGAATAAATGTAAAGACGAAGATGTACACGATGATCTCTCATTTTCAGGCCAGGCAAAGCAAAAACTCCTGTAGCGTAAGCAGTGCCCCTTTGGGAGAGCTTTCTGTGTTCACGAACTCGAGTCTCGGTATAACTTATATCTCTAGCAAATTGTATCCTGCACTCTTTGACTGTCGTAAACACCACCTAAAGTTCTCTTCCGTCGCCTTGGACCTGTGAAACCTATGCTCTTGGGCCAATTTCAAGCCAACCAAGTGGATTCGATACATAAGCCCATTACAGCATTGACTTGTTTTCAAGTCTCAAGACGTGTATGGCAAGTCCATATAATACAAATGAACCCTCTAGGCCTTCCCACTCTTGAAAGCTACCTGTCGTTCGTCACCGACGACGTGGAGGGGCAGATATGCATCTATCGCGTACACTACCCCACCATGCATATTCGGCACTCGCGCCATCGCATAATGCCTAACGCGACGCCAGCGCAACGACGCGCCTGCCCAGCAATCATCGACGTCAACTCCTCAAGCCGCCCGCCATCCTCGTTGCAAGAACCGCTGACATCGCGATTCTGCATGCTCACCAAACTCTGGCCGAAATGAAAGCACTGCGCTGCACCGTCAACGCCTCACGACGACTACGCCGCGGTCCTTTTGGCTGACCTGACAATGACGCAACCGCCACCATCAGTTCGTCTCCTCATCCTGCGAGATTCTGTGTATCCACCGCTAACCTGGCGCTTTTACAGACACCTACCCCTCGAAAATTCCTCCTCACGAAGCGCCCGCCTCTGTCACAGAAGACACCAGGTAGCGCGGGTCCCGCGTTCGCCAACAGCCAGCGCTTCCACGCCACGCCGCGATTTGCCCCACCATCAACGAACCGCCCCTCGACGCAGCGGCCGCCCTCTACACCTGGTTTTCCTGGCTCGATCCGGCCGTCGAGACATGTCGATCCAATTCACGATGCGTTGGAAAGCTCGCCGCCAGAGGGCCCTGCCACGGTGACGCGACCGCGATCGACCTTTGCAGGCACGCAACGAGTGAAGGAGAGAATCCAAATCGAGTCGGACGACGAGAGCGACTCGCACGACGGAGAGATACCTGCACCGCGGGCTACGGGCTTCTCAGTTAATGACTCGATTGAAGCAGAGTCCGAAGCGAGTAGTGACGTCCAGAGCGACCTGGAGGAAAGGGTGCCCAAGCGGAGGCGCATCTCCGTCTCTTCAGTGCCCAGCCGGCACGATGATGCCGAAGATCATTTTGAAGGCAACCCGAAAGAAGATGATGAGGTTCACGAAGTTGCGCAAGAGGAAGAAGAGCTCCCAGACGCAAATGACCGCATGCTGGTTGACGCTGAGGACGTCCTGATGGACGAAGACCCTGGTCTACCTGAACCAAACGACGGAGAAACCGCCAAGACTCAACCGAAGTTCCACCAGGCCCCGCGGTTCAAGATCGCAGAAACTGAAGGTCCGCGACAGGAAGGATTACCGGAGGCATTCTCACCGCAACGCCGAGGCCCGAAGTACATCGCCGGAGGACTCGCTGCTGAACTGCAGTCCTGGCTGGCAGAGGTTAAAGGCTGGGGCGGTGGTGACCGGCCCGCTGACCTGGTCATGAGGATTATCATTGATGAGATCTCGCCTGGAAGCAGAATGTATCTTGTCAAAGGGCGCAGGATTGTCGACGGTGGGGAGATGAGGGAGGAGATCGCGGCCAGGCTAATGCTGGCTGGGGAGGGGAGGCTCACCGGGCTAGGGCAGAAAGCGCCTGTGCTTGTTGGCAGTTGTGTTTCCATCTCGCAACCTGCTTGGGAGGTTGTACTTGAGGACACGAGGTGGCTTGTGGCATGTGATTGGACCATACACTAAACGCCTTTTAGCAGCTGGCACATGCTTTCTGAAAAGTTGAATGGCAAGGCAGATCTCGGTCTCCTACTAAGGTCTGCATCCCTGGGTGATCGAAGAAAGAAGTCAGTATGTCTTCGCTTGGGTAGGATAGGTGACCTCCACTGCGGACGAATGTCCTTTTCGCACAGTGCGAAGATTTCTCTCTGTGGTTCGCATAGGCGGCAGGCAGCTGCAGCGACATGGGTAAGGCAAACATGATATACCGGTTTTGATAGGAGTTTTCATTATCGGCGGCATGTAGTCGCTACCCAATGAGCGGGTTGTCATAGGCGCTGCGCTCCATACTGTGTCCCGCGAGATCAGGCTGCGTTCCCCCCTCTTTTCTCATTACCCGACTTCCCGAACAAAGCTCGCACCTAAGCCTCCAAACATACGCAAGCACGATGGACCCATTGTCAGTATTGGGCGTCATTGGCAGTGCGGTTGCAACAGGCAGAACTATCGCGACCATTCTCCAAGACTGTTGCGATGCACGAGACGACCTCATCACGGCAAAGAATCAGGTTACAGATCTCCAATGCGTTCTCGATCAACTAAACCCTACAGAAGATTGGAGTTTCCGTCCGAAAAAGCTCACGAAGGCCACGAAACGCTGCGGCAAAATCCTTTCCAAAATCGATGAACTCTTGGAAGAGTATAGGAACAAGAGACTACGATGGGCTTTACACGGCAAAGCTAGGCTTGCGGAACTGCAACGAGATCTTGAGGCTTCCAAGTCGACATTGCTAATCTATCTTACCAACAATACCAACAATACCAACGACAAGGTCGATCGGGTGTATGATCGCTTGGGCGACGTAGAAATGAAGATTGATGCTCTGGCCAACTCCAACAACTCGAGAGGTCCGCCTCTGGCGCTTCCGCCATCACAAGGTACTCCGTCGAGTGAACCAGCTCCGCTGCCTCTTCTACTTCAAGGCGTTCCCTCGATGGGGTTGGCTCCGTTATCACAAGCCTCGGGTGTGCCAGGCCATCTACCTCCGCCATCACAAGGAATTCCTTCAAGAGGACCGACTCCATTACGGCAAGCCTTAAGAGTGCCAGGCCCTCAATTTCCGCTTTCACAAGGCATTCCTTCAGCTTCTCAGCCACAAGGGATTCCCTCGAGAGGACCAATTCCGATACAACGAGGCATTCCTTCAAGAGGACCGACTCCATTACAACAGGGTCTTCCTTCAAGAGCACCAATTCTATCACAACAAGGCATTCCTTCAAGAGGACCGACTCCATTACAACAGGGTCTTCCTTCAAGAGCACCAATTCTATCACAACAAGGCATTCCTTCAAGAGGACCGACTCCATTACAACAGGGTCTTCCTTCAAGAGCACCAATTCTATCATAACAAGGCATTCCTTCAAGAGGAGCCATCCCATTACAACCAGGTATTCCTTTAACAGCACCAGTTCCATCGCGGCAAGGCATTCCTTCAAGAGCACCACTTCCATTGCCACAAGTTATTCCTTCAAGAGGACCACTTTCATTACAACAGGGAGTTCCTCCAAGAGGACCCATTCCTCTACAGCAAGGCATTCCCCAAAGAGGACCGCCCCCGCCGCCACGGGTACCTCAGACAAACACAAACCTACAATACGGCGTCCATCAAAACCCTTACAGTTCTACTACTACGCCTCTTTGGCCACAGCCAGCACAGCCGTCTCACGATAGAACAGCGTTCCATACAGCTCAGTGACCTACGTTTCCAGTTCCCAACTCTTTTCCCCTCAGCCAGAACGCTCCTCAACAAGGACCGGACTCGTGGCCGAGAGCAGGTGTACAACGGCAGCAACAAGCCACTGGGCCTACGGGTACCCCATTGCTGTAGATCTCTCGTTTCAGCTTGACGCAAATGGGCTCGGCATCTCTGAACGCCCCAATACATGGGATTGACCGTTCACCAATGAAGCTCACTACGAGCGAAGCCTGTAAGCTTCAAATCTTCCGAGTCCACAGTGATATGTCAAGGAATTAACCGCATCCATCTCTGGAGCGGATAGATAAATGTGAGAAGAAGGCGAGGCTCGAAATTGTGCTGTGAAGGTGATATCACGCTTTCTCATCACGCAGTCCAACAAACGAGTGGAACCCTGGGTGATTCTGAACATCGTCCGGCCTTGGTGGTGGTTCGCTTCTCATTATGGGAATGGGGAAGCACGCTAAACTACTAGATCATGACAGAGGGGAGATGCGGCACGCTGGACGTGCGATCACGGATGTACGACTCATGGGATTTGGATGGGGCAATGATAACGAGACCTGCAAAAAGATAGACATGAGCTTGGTGAGAAGGATCTCGCGGTCAGTCTCTAATATTCAAAGCTGTCTACAAGATTGATGGTGGGAGCACCAAAAGTGAACAGAGAATGTTAGTAGGCGTGACAGATGGGGTTATCGAACTTGCTTGCACTGTTTTTCCCGATTTCAAATACTCAAGATACACAGTTACGTGACACTCGTCAATCTCAGCCTTGGTCTCATAGCGCATGGTGCTTGTAGAGGAAATAGGCCAGGAGGCGTTTGCATCTCAGTGCAAGCAGCGTCCAGATGCAGGCTACCTAGAACGCCTATCAGGCATCTAACTTCTAGTTTATGAATAACGTGCCGCATGCTAGACCCTGCCTCTTGGAGTTCAAACCATCACTTCGTAAGTCTTTCTTATTATCAACCATCCCGTAGGACTATTATTAAAACGATTTGCAATCGGTGTTTGAAGAACAAAAAAGGTGGGAACGGTGTTCTTTTGGCGGTGAAGAGGGCTTGGGGTCATTATGAAAAGCCCTCAGCTTACGCTGAAAGAGTTGACGATGATAAGAGGGGGAAGTGGAACATCATTCGACGAAAGCACTATCTTCCATGATAAGTGAGACACAACCTAGCATCTGCCTCCTGAGTTCGACTGGCCAAGGTCTCAGAGCTTTCATATTGGCAGTCAAGGCCACCTTTGACCCATCCAGCGCCTCCTGAGCTTGTGAGGTCGGAATAACTAGCCAAATAGCAATGGTGGGATAGTCTTTAAGCTTAGACCTGGCGAATCACGACTCAACTGGGCTGATATGCTGCAAATTTTGAACGGCAAAGAGCAGGGCAATCCCCAGAGAGTGGGCTGGGGAGCGAAGCACATGTGCCATGCTCGTCTTCCCTCTTTTTGGCCGTCCCTTGAGGCCTTGGATCAAGGCTAGAGGTATTCGATCACAATTGTCGGGGTTTCTGGCTTGGAAAGACTGACATAGGAGCAGCATAGCAAGCCTTGCACGCCTACAGAGGGCGTACCATCCCTGTCACCCGTGGACAAAAGGTTTGACCATTTTATAGATTCTCGTGGGGTTCCATGCGCTAGAATATTATATCAAGTCTGTTTTGGTAGGTTATCGATAGCAGACTGCAGAACACAGTGCACGCCTATCCATCCATATCCATCACTCACCCATTCTCATTGGACCGCCATACACTTGCGGCACAGCCCCAACTATAGAGTCGTTACCCCTCCTCAATGGCCAGTCTGGTCTCTATTACGAGACTTTTCTTTGATATGCAAGATACGCTATCTGTTGCAGCGAGCTGCAGTGATTTCTTGCAGTCTTTCTCGACTACTAACCTCCATATAGATCACCACCAGATTGCTGGTCCCTTCGTGTATGTCCAGCCTGACCATCACACCACTTCACACGTTGGTAGTCCTCCAGACGACCTCAGCTAAGCCACCGTTCAATATCCAATCAGATTTATATCGGTGATCCGTTTTCTCCCGTATTTGATGCTCAATCTTCGAGACGCCTTCAGGCTCCAACCCCTCCATCCACCCATCCCTTCTGTTCTGTCTCTCGCGACCATAGCGCTCGGCGATTCAGATCACTATCGTCGCGCTCCCAGATTCGAGAACCCTCTTATGACAGATAATTAGAGGCGTTGAGCGGGCATTTTCCCTGTCGCCCGGGTCACGCACAGGAAACGATGGCGGAACCCCTCTCTCCGAGTGAGATCAGGAATCGCATCTACTCAACGCGGCAAACGATCAGGAACCTGTCCCCAAATCTTCGTGTCTCGAACGCCGATCGTGAAGCGACTCGTACGAAGCTAAAACAGCTCGCCGAGCTTATCAAGCAATACGAACCCACAGGAAGCAGGATCCTCTCGCTTTCTCCCACTCTTGCTGGCGTCTCAGCAGCGACAGTCCACTGCGCCAACATCCTTGCGCGTTTAGATACTCTTCTAACAAACTGCAAACGTGATAAGATCATCTGGAAGCCGGATGGAAAAGCTAGACTGGCGAAGTTGAAGAAGGAGCTCGACGAGTGCACATTGGCCTGGAGTAACATCGTCAAGCAGGTTGGCAAGGTTAATGACCGTCTAAAGAAGCTCGACCGGGTGAAAGTCTCGACTGGGAAAAAGACTGGTGCGACAAGTGGAGGAAAACTGACCAGACGCTCTTCGTCGCAAATTGTCAAGAGGAACCCTAGCAACCCTGTTTCAAGGCCAGAACCAAATTTTCATTCGAGATCCGTTAACCATTGGGAAAGAGATTCTCTCATTCCTACCGGTGCTGCTCCACTACTTCACTCAGAGTCTCCGGCGGTTCACATACACATCCACAACCCAACTTTCATCTATGCACCCTCCAACAAGTAAGCCCAGCACGCCGACGAAGCTCGCCACATATGTGCAAATCAAGGGGCAGCCGAGGCATTCCAGTACACGAAGTGATTCAAGAAGTGTACATCGATTCTGTCAATGGTCGGCGCAGACACTCCTGCAAACGATGCGGAGCCGCCAAATTTGTGTGCTGCGGCGTTGGTGGCTGCCTGATAGGATGTCAGGAACAGTTTCAATAACGACTTCTTTGACCGATGGGTTCATTTTCAATCACGACCATTTGGAAGTATCGTCATCATGGAAGTGAAAGAGGCGATGTTCCAGATCCGTTGTTGCCGAATAACTTATATTGCAGTCAACGATCGGCAAGATT